CACAAGAGGATTTAACCCGAGCTCTGAATTGGCTTGCTCGTAGCCAGGATGCTGTGCCCTCACAAGCGATGGTTCGCTGATCATTGGGCAAAGACTGCTGTTGGTGCTGTGCCTAAAGGCACATTTGGCCCCTCTGTGCTAAAAGCACGGTCCAATCGGATTATACAGAGCTTGTATATCACGAACAATGCTGACCCGCGCACGTGGAAACGGATCGCGCTTAGAAAGTAAGATCAGTTGTGGATACCTTGCAAGAAACCTTCCGGCAAGGCTACGTAACGCCTCCAGTGATGTCATTTGATGAAGTAATGATTCCGTCATGGAGCCGCCATAACGTCACACGCCAGTTCATGAGGGACAAGCCTCACAAATGGGGAACTAAGTTGTTCATGACCTGCTGTGCTGGCTCGGCTTACTATCTTCATTACATTGCGCGCACAAACCGCTGAAATCTACTGTTTTTGCCAAGTAGCACATATTGTATAATGACTCATGTTGGTGAACTATATGCTGTATATACAACGTGATAGGATTGAGGTCTACTGCGGGGAGAATCAGGACTCGAACGAGCTCGGAGGGGAACCACCAACGCGGTTTTCAGCGGACCCGATCTTAGGCCCCGCCGCCGTCTAGCGGAATCTCCACAAGGTCCTCCCGCCCCGTCGAGAGGGCGTGTTCCACTCTGTGGTCACCGACCGCTTTTACACATCCGTGCAGCTCGTACTGCAGTTGCTTACTCGCAACGTGTATCTAATGAGGACTATACAGGCAGATGAGAAGGGATTTCTTTTTGCTCTTGTTGTCAAAGAAGCCAGCCGTCCCAGGCGTTGAGCATGGTGCTGCAACGATTGCAGTATCCAACAGCTCCCCACAACGGCAAGTCCTTCAATGGTGGGATCGTTTGCCGGTCTATCTACTTTCTACTGGAAGTAACACTGTGATGAAGACTGTTGATAAGTTTGGTTTTATTTGTTTTGACACTTGGGTGAAGCTAATTTTATCGTGTGTATTAGGGCGACATGGTCCTGTCGGCCGCAGAATCACCATTCCCTGCCCCTCCGCGATGCGTGATTACCATCCTTGGAGAGGTGGGCTAGACCTCCACGACCAACTGCGACTGCAGCGCTCTTCGCTGCAGCTGTCTGTGCACTTTCGCAAATCCTACAAGACGATTTCCTGGGGCTCCTTGACATGGCAATGGTCAATGCCTCTAACTTATACCGCGAGGTGCTCAAGCGGAGAGAAACAGCACCAGCAGGTCATGCGGAATTTCGGGAAGTGCTACAGACTCAGCTACACCAGACGACTAATGATGACTTCGAAGAGGTATATACAACTTGTCGGGATGTCAACATGTTGTATATTCTACATGTGTGACTTGCGCCAACGCACGTTTCAACAGAGACTTCTGGTGCACACAAGCTGTCTGAATTTCCTGTGTGGGTTCAAGTGCGTGAGGGGGTCAGAAAGCGGCCCCAGCATCAGTGTAA